ATAAAATTTGCATTATTAACATGTCGCAAAAAATCAGCTTACTGAGATGAACAGTTGTTGAGATATTAACAGGAAGTGATGTCAGCAACAGGAAGTGATGTCAAAGGTGAACACCTGCATGTAAACAGAGCGTTGCTGCAATGGCTAACGACAGTAGAGAAGGATCAGACCTTGCTTTAGATTATTTTGAGTCTCTGAGAAAGAAATGAAGAGGAGTAGGAGTTCAAATAATATATTTCCAATAAACAAAGACCAGGAAGTTCCTTAATTTAAAAAGCTCCTCTTTGATGCCAATTCCTGTTTCGCTTGGGCTGCACAAGCTCAAAGTAAAATATGCCAGTCATGTGACAAAATGGGTAAAATCATGTGTATCATGCTGAATATCTTAAATTTTAAAATGCTGTCATCCACTTTCTATATTTGTAGGATTTGCATGTGACAGGCACTGTAAAGTCAGCGGAACGTTTTGATCTGAACATGCCCTCCAGAGTTTGCCTCAACTGTTTGGTTGATTATACCAGATTTCAGTTCCTTCTGTGATCTGTTGGGTCACAGTGTCGATACAGCCCAGCTGTTCTTCATGCAGCCATGCTCAGGGACTTTCACACTCTTGCGTGTCCTCTCGGCTCTTGTCTGAAGCCCTCACTCAGTGTTCATTTCAGCAGCAGAAGCCTGTTCCCCATTACAGACCACTTAGTTCCGCATACATTTCTCCTTGATTGAATTGTTATTGCCGCTGAAAAGACTATCACTACCCTCCCCAACCCACGCTGTGTCTGCTTTTCTCTCATTGCTCTAACGTTGTCTTTTTACATACCACTGCAGTGTCTTTTTGTTTGCTCCTCAGAGTTCACCTCCACTGAGCTCATCAGTGGTATTTAAAAGCTGGGTGTAAGTACAGCAAAATATTTCAATTAAATCTATTTTGGTTTTTGCTGTCAGCATCTGCCGGTCCTCTCCAGTCTGACACCTTTCACTGCTTTACCTCCACTTTGTAATATCTGCCCAGGTTGAGTTGCAGTTTATTGTGTGTCTGTGTGTGTTTGAGAGAACTTGTACGTGTTGATGAGCTGCCAAAGGCTTCGGTTGCAATCAGCAGGACTCCAGAGATCGAGAGAGAAGGAGTGGAAATGAGACAAAAAGAGGTGTGGAAAGATTCACGTGTGCGAACAAAGTCAACATACAGAGGCTGAGGACTGCTCCAAAGACGAAGGGAAGGACAGAAACGGCTGGTGAGGCAAAGAGAGAGATGGGAGAAAGGGTGAGACACGCTGAGGGTGAGAAGTGGCTAAATCAGACGGGAGAGGAGGAGATCGAGCTGATATTTGGTCTTCGGCTAATAAACTTAGTGGTAGAGCTAAGCGCTAAATGTCAGGCCTGACATCTGTCTCAAGCTCTGCTCATGACAGCAGGACACAGACATTTATTCAAAACATACACTCACAAAAATATTTGGATGCTTCGAGCACACAGCGGTAGTGTGTGTGTATGTGTGTGTGGGTGTGGGGGGGGGGGGGGGGGGGGGGGGGGGGGGTGAGGGTATATATGTGCATCATTTCCTCTCTGTATGTGTCTGGATTCTCAAGTGACACAAGATGCCGTGACCTGAAAATTAAATCTCAATCTGTCTGCCACCTTCTCACCCCACTCCCCCCCCCCCCCCACACACACACACCTCCTCATCTCCTCCCATTCTACTCTTCATTCTCACCATCTCTCTGGCCATTTATCGGGGAATGACTTGTGCCCTATTGGCTGTTTGCAGAGTCTAATCAATTGTCGAGTGTCCTGTGTCCTGAGTGTAGGAGGTGAACTCAGTGATTATGATGCCAAAAAAAAAAAAAAAAACCTCTACGTGAACACATGCGCTCACACGTGCATACACATCCATTTTGTTGGCTGCTGTCTGTGGCAAACTGCCACAAAATGCCAAATGTGATTTAGAGTCATTCAACAGGAAGTGGCAATGTTACCGATGTGCAGCTCATCAAACAAAAGGAAAGCCCTCGGGGAGTTAAGCAGCGAGCTGCACAGCACTTTGTTAGGCACAAAGTGCACACACTAATTAAGCTTTTGTGTCTGCAAATTGAAACATAGCAGGGAGACACTAACATGAATCATCAGCATGCTTGTATGTGCCCATTGTGTGTCTGCACCTCCATAAATCATAACGGACAGTTCTCGTTTAGAGTACAAATTACTGTTGTGTTTATTAGGTCTTTTTTATTAATGACACAAGAGGAGACTTTTATTTCTGATGGCACTAATGGAGGAGGACAATAGATAAGAGGTGTGAAAGAAACTAACAGTCTGAGACAGATGTAGGGCAAACATGTGGTGCAGATACTTCCCCCAAGGTTTTTCAGCTGAGATGAAATCAGTGGTGAAATAAACATTGATTGGTCCTTTGTCTATAAAGCAGCAATAAACAAATGTAAGAGATTCACAAAAAGGTGTTAAATGAACCATTTACCTATCCTACCCGGTCCTATCCTACCTTTCATTACCTGCACATCTGTACCTTATCCTATCCTGTATTCATGAAAAGTACCCAAATGTACCTTTAGTAATGTGTTATTCTCTGAAGTGGTACCCTGAGGCATTGGGTATTTAATGGAACTCTGGATCTTTGTATGATTTAGAGTGTTTTAACTCTGGTGGCAGACCTGTATAGATCACCAGTAAAAAAAGGTACCGTACTTGCCGCTGTACATGTTGCACCGCTGTATAAGTTGCATCAGTCCAAAAATGTCTAATAAAGTGGAAAAAAACATAAATAAGCCACTTCGCCGTATAAGCCACGTCTATAATGCGTCACCGCTGACCACCCAGAAACGTCGGCCGGTGTTGCGCCAAAAATCGATTGGCTGTCAAATTGCGGCCGCAGGACCGTGCACAGGAGGACTTTGCCAAGAATTTAACAAGATTAACACTTAAAAACAATTATTTGTTTGCTCAAAATTATAGCAAAGGTGTGTCTCAGTTTAACTTTTCCTTAATAAATGCACTTTGATGGTCAAATCAAATGCATTTCAAAAATCAATTTGTGGAAGCAGGAGCGCGCAGAGGGAAGACTCACTGTGCATTTCGTCAAAATTTAACAAGACTAACACTAAAAGCAATTATTTGTTTGCTCAAAATTATAGCAAAGGCGTCTCAGTTTAACTTTTCCTTAATAAATGTATAATGGTCAAATCAGTTGCATTTCAAAAATTGATTTTGAGCTGCTGGAGCACGCAGAGGATGGATTTGCTGTGCATTTCTTCGAAATTTAACAAGAAAACCACCTAAAAACAATTATTTGTTTGCTCGACATTATAGCAAAGGTGTGTCTCAGTTGAACTTTTCCTTAGTAAATGCACTTCAATGGTCAAATCAGCTGCATTTCGTCTGGGCGGTGCGGCGAAATGCAGCTGATTTGACATTTGCTCCAGGAGTTCCGGAGCGAGACGAAGGTGGCTGACAAGCCAAGTGTCTCATTAATAGACACTTTACCTATTAATGAGACACTTGCCATATTAGTATAATTTAAGGTAAGAGAAATGCATGTTTGTTTGCCCTGCGCTGTACTCCACTTCTTGCTTGTGGAGCGGGGCCCGGTCTGATTGAATTCACATTGTACTCGAACCACGCTGGAGTTGTCTTCTACCGGACCGAGACCTAGGTTTTAGCCCGGGCCAGAGTTCGCCTTTTTTTTCCGTGACAGAGTTCGATGGCGCGTTCACATCTCCCCAAACGAACTGGACTTTCTAGGAAAACGAGCTAGAGTTTGATTAAAGCGGACTAAACAGGGCTGCTGTGAATGCACCCTGAGAGGCCCATCAAGTCCAAGTAAATGGATCAACATCTGAGGCCAGTTTCTTCAGATCCACTATAAGACGGACCACCACAAGATACCGCTCCTGCCCACAGCCATCAGCATCTAGAACAACTCTTTAGTGAAACCAGGAGAATGAGCCACAACAGCATTTAATTTCCCTCTGGGATAAATAAAGTATTTTTGAATTGAATTGAATTTATTGTAACAGTTTTGTTCCCTCTCAAACCAGCTGGGTATTTATCTACCTTGACACTATTGTTCTTGAACCACATACCTTTGGTGTTATTTATACTTTAAATTATTTAAAGCTGTACCTAAACTTAATTATCATTTTAAGAGTTTATTGAAGAAAACCCTACTTTATAAAAAATTATCCAATAATAGAAATACATAATAAGAAACAAAGAGAAACATAAAAAAAAAAGATGATAACAAAAAATATAAAAAGGGATTGAAATATAACCCAAAAACATAAAGAAGGGCATACAGAGACAAGGTGTGTGGGGGGTGGGGGGACAGAAGAAAGAGGCAGACTGGGGCATTGTAAGAAGCTGTTCTTGACTCTGTGATGTTCTCTGAGTTCTGACATCTCCTCTGGTTCAGCACTCCCTTACCTGACACTTCAATAAGGCTTATAGCCGCCCTATGAGATGTCTGCGTGCGTTTGTGCACGTGCAATGTTGGAGGCAGGGAGAAAAGAGGAAACAGGGTGACAGACAACATTTGGGGACAATTTATTTGAATATCTTCACCTGTTCTGAACTGTGTGAGCGAGAGTTTGAGCACTTTAACTCCCACCCTGAACCTAATTCTGTTCCTTAAATCAAAGGAGAGTCAAATTGAGCTGGCACACACAGCAGGAGTAAGTGAGAGGTGGAAAATGTGTGTGTCTGTATGTGACAGCAACCCCCCTGTGGCGAGACCTAATTTAAAGTGGAGAGACGAATACAGCTCCAGAGCGAGAAGCTGCCCCTGACAAGAAAAGAGAAAGGACAGACAAAAAATGCAAAAACAGAGAGGAAAAAAAAAAAAAACGATTAAAACTAAAGGGTGATGTCTTTAACGTGAGAGCGCCAAACCGTCATAATGCATCTTAAAGAGCAAAAATCACAAGAAGTCAAAGCCTCAGTTTGTTCATGGTGTGTGAGTGCGGACTGTGTCTGTCCTTCCTCTGACTCACTGGGTTGAGCAGCACTGTGAGAAACAGCTCTCCCCCACGGATGCTTTTGTCCAGTTCTTTAGGTCCTCCAGGGTACTCCTTGTAGTAGATGGTGTGAGTAAACAAGCCACATGTCTGACGAGGCAGCACCTGAAAAAAACACATGCAGACATGCATTAAAAATGAAGAGCTGTTAGTCTATTTTATTTCTTCAAATTAAACTTTTAGTAAACAAAAACCCAGCCAAGCAAAACACTGGAAACAGATAAATGAAGTGCCAGACTATATAAATATGTATAATTAAAGCAAACTAATTTTTCATTTTTAAGCCTGATACTTCGGCTGATTGTCAAAACCAGCAATCTAGATAACTCAAAATGTGGAAAAATCTGTTAGGCCCTCTTTACACTGAATACGCTACATTAATAGTCCCCAATCCTGGTCCTCCAGGGCCACTATCCTGCATGTTTTAGATGTTTCTCTGCTTCAACATACCTCCTGTGAATGGATGCGTGGCTTCTGCAGAACTTGAAGATCTGCTGAAGAGCAGGGAAACAACTAAAACATGCAGGATAGTGGTCCTCCAGGACCAGGATTTGGGACCACTACTCTCCATGGTCTCTGTGACCTGTTAGAATTGGGCTGGATCTCCACAAATTTAGAAAACCTCCTGCTTCAGTAAGACGGTAACCATGATGCTGCAACACTTTCAGTCCACTTAAAGGTTTTTTCTTGCTATTTTTCACATCTCTGAGGCTACAGGTATTCTCCTGCATACGCACCATGCTTTGTACATCAGCAGCACAGCAATAAAACCATCCATACATCCATTATCTTTTACCCACTTCTTCCATTTTGGGTCACGGGGGTCACCAGTGCCCATGTCCAGCAATCACTATGCGAGGGACGGGGTACACCCTGGACAGGTCGCAAGTCCATCACAGGGCCACTTAGAGACAAATGAGACAAAGAGCCATTCACTTCCTCACTCACACCTAGGGACAATTTAGAGTTACCAATCAGCCTAACATGCATGTTTTTGGTCTGTGGGAGGAAACTGGAGTACCTGGAGAAAACCCACATATGCACAGAGAGAACATGCAAACTCCACCCAGAAAGGACCCCAGACTGGGGTTTGAACCAGGGACCTGCTCGCTGAGAGGCAGCAGCTCTACCAGTTGTGCCATCGTGCTGCCCGCAATAATACCATATACTCCCATTATTGCACCACACCCAGATGCCGACCCTGGCAGGCCTCAGACAAGCGGTACGTCAGGATGCAGCTAGAGTCTATAGAAGATCACATCGTGGTAGCAGAGCACCACCCCCATGGGCGTCATGTCTGAGCTGTTCCCATAACATGGTTACAGTCTAGGCATGACATCAGTCCTGCTTCAAATTATTCATGGATAGCCACACCAGTGCATGTAGGCTCCATGCTGCCACAACAATCTCCCCACTCTCCACCCAAGACCTTATTACATGGCCACCACATTAATAAACCACCACAACCCTGCTTCTGTTTCCTGAAACCATTACAAACCCATCACCTTCTTTCATGCTTAACATTGAACCAACTGCTTTCTTAACACAAAGTGAAGGCCTTACCAAGGTCCAGCAAAGGTCATCCATGTTCTGACTATTTTTTTCCCATTGTAGCTAGATCATCATCCTCTGTAAAGAAGTATTGTCAGGATCTGAGCTGCTTTTAGTTTGTTGTTAGTTTTTTTTCCCATTTTGATTTTTCAGTTTCTCCTGTATTTAGTGATTCTTATTCAGTTCAGTTACTTGTGTTTTCAGTTTCTGTTTCCCTCTGTGTCCATTCCTGCCATGCCCACTTTCACCTGCCCCTCAGGTGTCATTATGCCAGGTGTAATGTTCACGTTCATGTCAAGTCATTCTGTGTTTTGTTTTTTTTGTTGCCCTGCCTCCTCTCCTCATCAGCTTCACTCAGTGCGCCTGTTCGCTGCTCTTTTTAAAGAGCGCCTCAGACTCTGCCTCCCTGCCAGATTGTCTGATCTCCTTGCGCCTGAAGAAGTGCAGCGTTCTGTTCCTGACCTCTCTGTTTTTCGACACTCTTCATGATCACGGATTCCTCGCCTTTGCCTTTCCCACGACGAATGATTTCTGCCCATCGGATATCTGGACCTCGACTCTTGCTCTGCCTACTGACCACCGACTTTCGCTGAACCCCACGGATAAGTACTGCCTATTTGCCTCTCTGTGAATGACTCACGCCTGTATCTTGACCACGATCTTAGATTCCAGACTCTTGGAGCAGTGATCTTTTGGAACCAAGCTCCACTCAAGCTGAAGAGGAGCCTTGTCAGACCTCCCAGGTCTCACTCACGTGTCACGTGACTCAGCAGCACCACCTTTCCTCCAACCCCCCTCCCTCTGACGTCATTGCAGCCTCTGCATCACCAATCGTGATTAAACTCTGCAGGTTATGCAGAGTTTCAGCTGACGTCCTCCTTCTGGGGCCCCCCTTTTCTGACAAGTAGTTAATATAACTTTTTCGTTCACTCCTGTATTGTGGTTGAATTTCCGGGTCCCCATTGTGAATTGTTACAGCCAGGTGTTTACACCATCATCGTTTCATATTTTTGGAGTTCTTTGTGACGGTCTGCATTCCAACCTCCACAAACGTGACACTTAGAGTTTTGCTGGCTATTTCAGTGTTTCTTAAATCAGTCTTTAGCCAAGCTGCAAAGGTCACATTTGTTTATTGACATACGGCCACATTTTCATTTTCCATCTCCGAGTTTTCAAGCGACATCAAGCAGTTGATATAAATCTGGAGAATTCCCTTGTGAAACACTGGAGACTTTATTCATATATTGGTTTTCACATTCGCAGACTTACATGTGCACTGCAGAGCTTCCCCCCTTAAGTGTCACAAAAAAATTAAAATGATGCAATACTGAGAGCTAAAAAAAGGGAAACTGAAAGAGATGGTTTTGTGATCATTTGAAAGGGATGATCGCACTAAGTATAAATAATTAAACGGGCCTAAAGTTACAAGCAAAGCAACAGATAGCAGCTGTTAGGGTGAAAGAATGAGCTGAAGTATGAAGTCAAGCTTGAATGATAACTTCATAATGCCAACAGACAGCAGAGCAGGTCAAGGATAATCTGATGTGTTGTATGATTCAGCATATGGTGGTTCTGTAATCAACAATGACTCTGTTCCGTTTACATGTTCCAGTTTCAGGAACTTGGGATTAAACACACAGAAGAAGCCATTGCTAAAAATTATTAATCCTACCTGTGTTTCTTTTTCCTCTAATGCCCTTTCAACATGTATGTGGTGAAAAAAGGTTCATAAAACTCTTTTCACTTTTGGATAAACCTTTAAACCCCACTAACATCTGGCTTTTGACTTCAATAAGAACGTATACATTATATATTCAGTGCTTAGGAGAAGATACATAAAACATGTCTACCTGTAGCGACGCACTAATTGTTGCATCTTTTGCAGTTCAACACTATAATTAACAATATCTATCACTGAATCGATGAAGGCTGGTTGGCTATATGCCTCTAGCCTGCTAACCTTTGACATCTCAGCCACAAACTATCCCTGTCTCAAAAAAAAAAAAAAAAAAACAGGACCATAAGAATAATTAAAAAAACACTCTTATTCTGGTGCATTTTGACCTGTTTTATTGACTTGTTAGAGATTTAAAGTGTTGAAACCTCTCAGGTGGTATGACACTCACCTCAGGTTAACACTTATTTCACTCCCAGCAGCAACCACATTAATGAGAGTTAGCACAGTGAGAATCAGAGAATAATCAACTTTCTATAATCATTTCTACAGCAAACATCCTGACAACCTGGCTAACATCGACATGTTAGGCACATTTAGGAGGAGCTGAAGGGGAGAGGGTGGGCCCCGGAGGCCATTTTAGCACCAGCAAACTGTTTTTTCCACTCAGTTTGTTTGGTGGCTCCTCAGATTGAAGAAGTCCTTTGGATGAAGGACGAAACATCTCAGCAAAAAAAGAAACCGTCCAGATGACCTGACTGAACATTGGATATTTAGCTGGATTATTGAGCATGAACTTTGGTGCTAACACATTTGCATCACAAAGTTAAGAGCAGAAACGTTCAAATATCATGCTCAATTAATATGTTTGATATAGATTCAGTTTAAATTGAGCTGATATATTATTTAGATAAACAGGTTTACTGAACAAAACAAAAAAATACGTGACTGAGAGTGTGAACACATGGAAACCATGATATTAACTTTAAAATGAAGAGGAAACAAAAAGGTTATAGTTTGAATATAGTTTTAGAAGGTTGACAAATAAAAGTAGTATTTTTTGTGTTACCACAAATTATTTGAAGTATTTGCAAAGTTTTTGAGCACAATAAAACTTTCAAACAGTGTTGTTTTATCTGGATATCCTCAATATCAGAGTGACATACTGGTAAACGCTTGGTGCCTGCATGTGATTCAGTTTAATGTCAGTTTATAAATGGCAGGTTAAATGTGCGTCATGTTTCCTTACTTTTTAAAACTTCATTTTCAACGATATTTGAAATACTAAATGATCATAAGTAAAACAGCACATTAAATAAAGGCTCTGCATGCTCTCCACCCTCTTACATGCTTGAATTTTAAATAAAAACTATATCATAATGCTAAAAGGATGATGAGAAATGGCAGTTATTGCTGCTTTGATCAAACACTGTAAATGTCAATACCTCATGTGATACTGGGAAAATTTGTGACGTGTTAAAGCTCAAAGTAGATGTTGAGGATGACTCTCAGACTCTACCATATCAATTTTTAACCCAATATATGTAAAACAGAAAGATAAATAGGAATTTTTGTGTTGATTAATGTTGATCAGCTCAAGTCGGCCATCTTGAATCAGTTGGACTCCAAACATGAATCAAAGCAAATAGTGTATCAGTGACAAATCCCACAAGTGCACCTCCAGAAGGTTTGAAACATTGCTCAAATTACATCATTAAATAAAATAAATCTCCAGGTACATTACTGAAAACATTTACCGCTAAGTTTCTACAAAAAATTATTCAGATCATAATGTACTGTTCCCTTGGTTTTCTGTCCTCACATGGATCTTGTGTATTGTTTTAGAAGATAACAGATTTACTCATACCTGGAGACGGTT